TTCCTTCTTTCGTCAGTCCCGCTTATAATAAATTATTTGTTTTGCTAAAGTGTTTTGCTAAATATTCACATAAGGTAAATTTTTCCGACTTATTATTTTGTTTAACTGGTATATATCCTCAGAACAATGAGCTTAATGAGTATTGAACTAATGTCAATTTTACATTTGCCGACATTTTACCTTTAGAAATTTATAAAAAAATATTTGGATTATTCTCCTGCCTCTTCGAAACAATAAATATATAAACATAAAAACATAAATTTCAATATTCATAAGTATTGCGTTTTCAATCATATCAGATGATTTTGTAATAAATATAATTATAATTCCTCTGTATATATACAGGATGAATCATTATATAGATGCACAGGGTTATTATAATACAGATTCCTTGATACAATTTTCTTAATTAATCTAAAGCATTTTCTTAAGTAATTTAAATAAATTTAAAGCATCTAGGAAAAAAGTTAATATAAGTAAATTTATACTGTAAATGAACCATCCTGTATATAATTACAAATACAAAACTTTAGCAATTCTTTCAGTTTTCTGTATAAAAGATATTATATTCCTTGCTAATTCTACTATTTCTGTTTCCTATAATTATTTACTTTTTTTATATGTATGTGTAATTTTATTCAGGTAATTATGTTTAAACCTAATCAGATACTATTTTGATGTTATTTGATGTTATTTTGTAAGATTAATAATTCACTTGTCATAAGACCTAATTCCTGATTTTATTTTGTATCAAAAAATACTACTTGCTGAAAAAAAACATTCATATATCTTTATAACTCGTGTCTGATTATGTTTGAGCGCTCACTATTACCATCGTACAAAAGATGCACAAAAGGAAGATGCGTGATGCATCTTGTGTGACGCTAATCAAACATTTGAGATACCAAAAGATTATATTGTATCTATACAAAAAATTTCAATGTGTTTAATTTATTAAACTTTTATTTATTAAACTAAATCTAAAAAAAATTAAATTAAGAAAAGCGAACACGACGCATTACGTTCACCGCTTTTTAACGCTGTCAGCTTTACAATTAATGGAATGCAAATGTGCGGCTTCGAGATGTGCACCGTTATCCGAAGTGAAATTTTAGTTAAATCATTAAATAAATTCAAATTCTAAATTAGTGATTTAAATAAATTTTTAAATCACTTAATTAGAATTCAAGAATAGCTCCTCAGAAACTACAACTTTGAAATTTGATAATGTGAGAGTCCGTGCGAACGTATCGGTTAACGATGAGAGAATGCGCGTGTTACACAAACGGACGCCCATTAATTGCGTTATCGTTAGAACGAAGGAACAAAAACTGACGGCTCGATAATTAGCTCGCAATAACCTAAACGCAGGCGCAGTTGTTAAGTGTTCCGTTTTGTAAATAGCTCCACGGCGAACCGTGTTAATTACGAGACTTGGACTTGACAGTAATGCGAAAAAACGCAAGATAAATGATAACGAAAACCAATGTATAGCAAAAACGGCCTCAAAAACAGTACAGAGATATTCTGTCGACCGACACGACGGAATGACAGTGAATCCGATGATGCAATTTGACACGAGTGACAAATTTGAAAACAGACGTCAACGCTGAAATATTTATCAGTTGCAATACTATCAATGTTTTACGATCATTTATTATCTTTGAAAATATATCAGTATCGATTATGTGACAAATGTTTCGTATAATATTT